GTGAATGTGCTCACACAGACGCACGAAATGCTAATTCACCAAGTTGTGCGCTGCCATGTACAGAACGTACATTAATGTATGTACAAAAGTATTCAGCTGTAGCATATTATTTCAATTACAAACATTTGTACGTTACAAATTAGCGAGCTTCGATTTTGTTCCCATTTGCGTCGCAAGTTGGTGTTCACTATTTCTTATCTGAGTCCACTTGAAAACAAACACTGATTTCACAAAATGCACAAACTGCGAAAAACTTAACAGATGGCGATAGCTGTGCTACATTGAATGGGGCTGGGAAACCCTAAGTGCAAACTTCAAAAATTATGTATAGTAGAACCTAATTATACGTCGCTACAAAAAAAATGTGAAAGCTCACTCCTGCAAAGCACCCGACCGCCATGAGAATGACAGGGAAAGCTTATAAAATTTTAATAGGCAAAAGATACGATTTTCACATTATGTTCAATAGATACGAGCATATTTTCCAGGTAGCATTTTTAGATGGTGGTCAAAGGGGCGTGGGTTAAAGAAAGGGAAGGAACGAGGTGGAGCAGCACGACTCAGCTGAGAAGGTGGGTAAGAAAAGAGGGTAGAAGGCACACGGTGCAAGGTCAATGGTCGAAGCATTGGAGACAAGTGGGGCTGCAGAAGGCCCAGCGAGTGACCACGACGAGTAACCACGAAGTGGCCGCTGCGGTGCCCTGTGGCACACCGTTGCGCAAGAAAGACACTTATCCTGGCCCCACACAGAAGGCATCGTGCGATAGCATCTTTGGCACTAAGCTGTTTGCACGTCTGCTATTTTCTATCCGTAAATCGTACAAATTCAAAAGCGAACGAAAACCTTTACAGGGAACATGAGGAAGTACACACTATAAACATGATTGAACATTTCAAGGTCTTGGTATTGTGCTAACAAATTCCAACATTGGTTGCTCATTGCTCATTTAATCTTCTCTGAACTTCTCCGGCGCTTTTTCTGGTCGCTCACTACATCCCATATTCTCAGGTTCGATTACCGATCAGCTACCCGAGTCCTTGGGCCGCCTGCTAGCTAGGCAACCACACCCAGAGAATCGTTTTGTTGATTTGAAATAAGTTTTTAATTTGAGGCATTTCTTTAATTTGAAGAAACTGCTTTGAATCAAAGCAGCCTTCTTTAATTTGAAGAAAGGGTTTCCTTGAATCAAATTTATTTCTTTAAATCAAAGAAGCCCTCTTTGAATCAAAACAGGCTGCTTTGATTCAAAAACATTTCTTTAAATCTGTATTGAGTCAAGAATTTCGTTGTTTTAAAGCAGCCTTCGTTGATTAAAAGAAACGATTCTCTGAGTGCACTACCCACCCGTGCAGAAGAAAGCAAGTACTTTTAAGCTTTTCTTGAAGCAATAACTGATATGTCTTCTACGGAGCACAGTGCACCGTGTCCCTACTGTAAAAAAAATATCACAACTTAACAAATTTTTCATGGTTAATTTTCTATAACGAAAACTTCAGTTTTCATCAAATTACGATAAATATCTATTTTACGAACTGCTTTGTAAAATCCAAAGCTTTAACTAAAGAGTTTGACTTTTGTAACCATTTAGTCACATTTTATGACCTAATATTTGTGGTCGTTACGAAATTTTTCATAAATTAACTCATGTACATTTTACGTAGCATTTCGTAGTGTAATTTTTATAAAACATCAAAAAAACCTTTTACAGAGTCGGTTAACGGATGTTCAATGAGGTTGACTGAAAATACTATCCAATAAATGGTTCGCATACCTTGAAGGGGGCATTATGAGTTATGAATTTTTTAAATGTCTGGATTTGGACCTACATATGGCCTGTTCTTCACATCGAGCCCCCAACTTTTACAAGAAAGGTACTTTTGCAATTTGAGCAATAAGGCAGGTTTTGGGGGAAAAGTATGCGTACAGTAGAGGTTTGCTGTTTTATGTGTTACAGGCAAACTGCTCCCTGAGGGAATCAAGGGGGTGAAAGTGATATTACGTATGCTTAAACTTTTCAAAAAAGAACTAATTTTTACTAGGATGTGCCCCTACTGACCCCCCAGTAGGGGCCTCAGGCACTGTAAAACTTTAGGTCATTTCGGTCCCTCGTAACTAATATTGCCTCCCCGCCCCCTTAACTGCACGGAAAAAAAAATTAGTTGTCACAACTAATAAATTAGCTAATTTTGGGATAGACAAGAAATTCGCTGTGGCAGCTAATAGTTGGTTGCCACAGACAAGAGTTTGTTGCCACAGCGAAGCTGTCGCTGCAGGAGCCAATCGGTTCGTTCTGACAGCGAAGCACCCAATTTTAGTATTCAGAACGAACCGATTGGCTCCTGCAGCGACAGCTTCGCTGTGGCAACTAGCTGTTGTCTGTGGCAACCAACTATTAGCTGCCACAGCGAATTTAGGATTAGCTATCCCAAAATCAGCCAATTTGTTAGTTGTGAGGACTAATTTTTTTTTCCGTGTGTAACCAGGCGGAGGGGAAAAACGGGCAGTATGTGATAATCGGTGCACGATGCTGAGGTCGCTGCTTGCAGACTTCATAAATCCCTCCCGCCACTTCTTCACGCCACGAATGCCTGACAGCAATAAACATCGCTATTATTTCCGCCACGTTTCGGTGTGTGTGTGCTTTTTTTCTCACTACCCGTCATCATTTTTGGCAGACAGCAGCTCAGTAGGCCGATTTTCTGCACACAGGTTCGGAAAACAGACTTACATTGAGACTGGACACGCCAGAGAATGCACTGTTAAAAATTCTTGTCACGATGAATGTCTCCACGTCACGGGTTTTCTTGTCATCATAGTTAAGGTTATGTGACGCGGAAACCCGCGACAACATCCCTGTGCCCTATCCAGGGTACTGTCGCTACTGTCGCCATTGTGAAAATAAATTTTTAGAGTATATCCTTCATTTAGGAACGGCATCAGCCTGTGGAGGTCAACAAAGCAAACTTGCGGCACTACTTAAACTACATGCCCTCGAGCATAAGGGTGATATGTTAATGTAGCGGGAGAGGGAGCTGTGCCGCGGGTATAAAAAGATAAAACTAGGTAACGGCACGAGCAAGTCACCCACCCCTTCTCCTCTGTCCATAGCCTTTTCTTCCTGCGGCACAAGGGCCTCATGCCGGGCACTTTTACTTTCAGTTGGCCAGAGCGGGTTGGGCCGTGCAGGCTAAACGCCTAGCAGACCATCACCACGTGACACGCATTTGCGTTTAGCATAGTAATTCGCTTATTCGTCTTAATGGAAATAAGTTGGGGTACTCTGTGAAAAATAGTAGAAAGGTTTATCAGAAAATGTTCCTTGACTCAAATTGTAAAATTACAATTATTTGCAATCGTAAAAATACGTGCAGTACGTTTCGACTTAAAATCCGTTTGCGAGTGAAACATGTGCTCTCGTGAATTTTCAACTTAAATTATAGCCTGAGTTCACAAAAAAATTACGACGGTTTTATTCACAGTGGAGGGACGGGGCGCTATGGTTGCAGCTTTTATCACTTGATTTGTTAAAATCACACAGAGCGTACTGATTACATGCCATAGACTGAACAGATTGAACAGAAAACGTCACTTCTCTGGCCACTTCTCTCAAAATTATTAGTAATTAATTCGTCCTGAAAGAGGGAGGAGGGCGGGGATGTAAATTAAGAAAAGTTGTTCATTCTCACTATTTTAAGGTTATGCTTAGGAAATCCTACAGTTGTATTTTTCACGCTACGCCCCCCTCC